GACATGGGTTGGCTAGATTAATCAATCAACTGCAAAAATGAAGGATGCAATTTATAAGCAGAGCTAAGTCTACTACAGAATGCAGGAATTGAGCTTTCTATAGGTCTGTGTCAGCCCTGAGAGAAAGCCAAGGCCTTTTCTTCCCACCTTTTTAAATAAGTGGTCTTTTAGCCTTGAGGTTTGACATCTGTTTTGTGTTCACATAATGGTACTGGCTATCAAGAGCACTTAAGAGTCCTGCGTCATTAGGTCCAAGCCCACCCTATGAAACAGAGTCCCCCCAGAGAAATGGATAGCCCCAACTCTACTGGCCTTTTCGAAGGCTGTGAAGAGCCGGCTGTTCCTGTAGGCCTGAGGGCCAGGATGTTGAGTTACTGGAGCTCTGGCATAGGTGTATGTGGAATGTGGGAATTGAGATTGTTATTGGTCCTCTATTAGTTTTTTTTTCCCTTGCATATTTTTAATTCCATTCTGTCTCCTGGAGGTACCGCATTTAGTCCTTTTCACCAACTTCCAAAAAAACTGATGATTTCTATCAAAATAATACTGTATTGCATTTGCTCTGTTCCTTTAATCTTAACCATTCCTTGCCCTATTTGACTATATCCTTTGCAGTTTACATAATAATTTTCTCTCATCCTCTTGTGCACCCATCATTTCCTTATATGCATTTTTCTCATCCACAATCTTATTCAATTCATCAGTGAGACAGAATCTGTTTTGCTTAAACATTTATGAAGTGAGAATACCATTTATTTAAAACCACCATATTTCATATGGAACATCCTGTCTTCTATAATGTAACAGTAGGAATTTGTTCAATTATATAAATAATTACGTTTATAAATATTTATTTATAAATACTGTTTATATTTATTTATATTTAAATATTTATTTATAAATACTGTTCTTAGATTTCTGCATAGATCAATACTTACAAAAACCTTGTGACTATTCACAATGGTTTTTTTAAATAGTATTTGTTGTGTTCAGTGGATGTTCACTATTTTTGCAACTAGTCTTTCTTTGTCACTGTGTCCAGCTTGAAATCAGTTTTATATTGCATTTCAGTTGAATAGAGAAATGTGTAAATATTTTAATCTAAATATCACAATTTTACATAATTCAGTTTTGTATTAAATGCAGTTTTTATAAAACATAGATTAAAACATAGATTATTATAGCATAGGCATAAAACCAGATAAAATGAAAAGAATGCCATTTGAATTTGCTAGCTTCCTATAATATTTGTGATATTCTGAAGACAACTGAAGCGAAGTAAAAAGCATTTAAAACTGCCTTTTTTATGTTGACATGTTTCTTCTGTAAATAAGCTGATGATAATCCTCTATGATTTTGTAGTGCATTATTCTTGGGACAGTATTTCAAAACATGAGTCTGTGAGAGGTGGAAAAAATAGGTCACTTGATATTAGATTATGTCTGTTGACCCTTCCCCTCCTGCTCCCCCCTTTTTAATACTGAGGATTACAGCAGGCATAGTGTATGCAATGTTTGTGTTAGATTATTGGAACTGCTGTATCATAGCCGTATGTGAAAACAATTAAAGTGCAGATTAACCTTGCAGGAGGGGAGTGCAGCCTTTAGACTGTGTGTTACAATATATTTATACACTCTAATTCAAACTGGTATATTGTAAATGACATGATCAAATCTGCATGTTTCTTCCAGTATTTATATAATGTATTACTGATAAAAATGATATTTTATTATTATGCTTTACTGTCACTAGAGGAACAGCAGAGAATGACTTTTATCAAGCCAAGCTGATTTACAAATTGTAAATTTGGATAGAGAGCCTGCTCTCAGTGATTCATTCTCTGGTAACTCCAGCAGTGTGTTTTATGTTGGACAACTCTGAAGATGGCTTAAACATTTTGTTAACTGTGGCTGGTTTAGTCTATCATACTTTCTAGTTCATTTACACTGACTTTTTAAGTCCTTAAATGGCTTCAGGCCAGATTCCCTAAAGCAAGGTTGGTAGTGTGGCATCTGGGATGCCACCATACCCATAACACCCAATCAGTGGATACTCAGGGCTCCTTCCTTGACAGGTTTCAGAAAACAGCAGCTGTGACCATACCATTTCAAAACTTACTTCATATTTCCCTGAGTGTTCCCAGTGTAGCAGCTGATCAGGTCATCTCCTGCCTAGGTTAAGGAAATAAACTCTAGTGTTTGTGCAGTCCTAGTTAGCTGACTGGTACACGCGACACCCGTTGGGGGGAGATGGGCGGCGTACAAATTTAATAATAAAATAAAACAATGAAGTTGAAGGTGGTGACAGCAGCAGTAAGGAGGGGCCTACAGATTCTTTGATGTAAACTTAGCCCTTTGAGAAACCATATTTTTCTCTTCACAAATAAAAGTAGTGAGGCAAGATTGAGGTATGGGAGGAAAAAACAAGAGGGAAGTTCAGAAGATAGAGATAATTAGGAGGTGGCAGTAGAATTTTACTCTCAGTGTAAAGTGACAATTTTTGAATATTTTGCTTGGAAAAAACTGAATAATGGAGTTCAGAACCACTCTAGTTTTGCTACTAATGGCAGTAGAAACAAAGCAGCTTTGCCTTCCTCTCTTGGGGAGTCTTCTGGTTTGCAGTTTCCTCCTAGCAAAAAATTCAGAAGCCTTCTTGTTTGGTGATAACAGCAAAAACCAGATGATTTTGAGGATGTGTTTGTAGTATAGAGGAGAAGGAAGGGATTTGTGTATGTGATCATCTGCTCACTGATATGTGTGTTGCTCTAGGATTGATGGAGCCTAATATACTTTCATGCTCCAAAAGGAATGTTAGGCATCTTAATATAAAGAACATTTCCTCCCATAAGCTCCTTCTTGAACACTTAACTTTGGAAACTGTCCATGTGTATCCTCTGAGCTGAACCAACTGGTCAGATAGAAGCCCATCTTGGACACAGGAGAAGTCCCACTTAAGGAATTTCTCACAAAGGTAGCTTAACTCATTTCATATTATCCTTTTAGCATTAAGACAAGAGTTTCTACTTCTCTCAGGTATGTTATAGTTCATCCATAGATTATCATCATGTTATTCTTGTTTGGATTAATTATTGAAAATGCAGAAAAGGAGCAAGATATTATAAGCCAAATTAGTTAAAAGACATGAGATAAGAGAAAACAAAACAAACTATCTAAATCTAGTTTACCAACATTACAGTGTAAAATAGTATAAAAAATAGAGTTTTGTTTGTTTATATGATTTTCTTTGGGCCACTCATATGTTCTTTTCTTTGCAGTATTTTTAATTAATTTTAGTCACCCAGAGTTGTTGAAGTCAGGCAGCCTCTAAATTGATTCAATAAATAAACAGACTTAAAATATCAGGAATTTATCAAAACTGATTAGCTTTCTGTCTGATTAGTATAAACATACCTGTTCAGACAACATTTTTTCTCCATTAACTCTACATTGAAATATATAATTTACAGTAGTTCTACTCTTTTGCCTCTCACTATGCACAGAAGATAATTCCCGAGTCAGAAAATTTTGCATTTATTGAGTTTATTGCATTTATTGCAGCATGAGCTAATAAATTAAGGAGTAGGGGAAAGCAGAAAGCACACAAGTGCACGATTTTGCTATAGGTTGAGGCAAGACAGGATAAGTATTGTGCTAAATAAGATCTATCAAAGTAAAATATTTTGGATGAATCTCAAATTGTAAGGAAGAACAGATTCTTCATTCAAGAATTAAGGTAAAGAGCCTTTGCATAATAAGAAAAGGATTTTAGAAACAACTTCAAGACAAATCTTTCAGATGGACTTTCAGCAAAGGAAGACCAACAGTAGCACCAGACGCACTCAATTCTAGAAAGCCAGGCTGTTATACCAGAGTCACAATAGAACTAAGCCGTACAGTTCCTGCCAGTACACTACAGAGTCTGACCCTGACCCCAATACAGAGATTTGATTATCTGACTCTTAACAGAACCATTGCCATTGTTTCAAGAGTTAAAAGGCAAGAGAGGAGAAAGTGTGCCCGGTTGCTTAGAAGAAAATGGGAATGATTATTGTGTCTAAATTGACCAGTTTCTGCAGTTGGTGCCACTGCGTGCAAATTGAGGCTGGATCTTCCTACCCCATTATCCTTAAAACACACACACATACATATACAAATCACCTAGGGAGATGTTTGTTTCTGAAAAAGGGTGTTGTTTTGTACACACGAATTCTGACTTAATGTCATAGTTTGCTAAAGTATGTTTAGCTCTTCACAGATCTTTGGGAAAAAATATTTACATTGCCATCTACTTTGTTGCAGCATCCAGTGAAGTTATTTAAATCAGTAGGAAAATATCTGAGAGACTATATTTCATTTAAATTAAGGCTGAATTCTCAACTAAAAAGGTGAATAAGCTCACAGTTCTTACCTAAGCTATTAAGTTCTTTTTTTTAAGTCTAATGTTTGTTTGCTTCAGTAGTCCTAAATCTTTTCACCAAATACTGTCTATATGTTACTCTTTTATAGTGAAAGAGATAACAAAACATTTTGAAACAGGTTAATTTTGTTTAAACTTTTCATATAAGGTAAAGCAATCTAAAACTTTAGAAATCAAATTGTGTTAGTATTAAAGAATGAATATCCAGAGAACAAATGATAGGCAATGTTGTAGTATTATCCACTTATACTGAAAAAATGTGCTCACAATTCATTTGGTAAGATACGTTTTATAAGAAAATAGGATAGTATAATGACTGTTTTACAGCACTTAGAGCAATAGGTATCAGAATCCTATCAGATTAACCATGTTTCTTATGATCTTCTAATATATTGAAGTTTATGAATTTTTAAAAACTTTTTTTATATTTAAAATAATGTTTTACTGCTTTAAGTAGCCATGCCATCATTCTTCACCAATACATTTTCTGGCAAAGATGTGGAATTTCATATTGAGCTATGCAAGATACTGCAAGATATTTTATTAAAGTGCTACTCTCTATTTTATTCCACTCTCTTTTACAGTGAAATTAATTCCCGACTTGATGCAGTGTCTGAAGTTCTCTTCTCAGAATCAAGTGTTCTTGGTCAAATCAAGTCTCTTTTATATAAGGTTCCAGATATTGAGAGAGGAATTTGTAGTATTTATCATAAAAAGGTAAGATTACAGATAATTTAAAAACACATTCCTATTATATTAATGTGCTATTGTTTTATACATTGTGGGGCAGAAAATAATTGAAAATATCTTAGCTTATAGCTGTGTCAAATTTAAACTCTTAAAAAAAAACCTGTCCATGTTTCCTTGTATCTCTAGTACACTAGGTTCCTTAAAACTCATTGACTATTTCAAGCTATGTATTGAAATGGTACTTATGTTACAGTTTAAAACTTTATTTAAATTACTCCAATTTTAAATATCTAATTACTGAGTTAATTCCCTGCCTACAATAACAGTTGAAATCAGGATGTGTATATTTCAGTGCATGTCCAAAATTAGGGCAAGAATAAAGCAACCCTTGTTTAAATATTATTAGAGTATTAGAACTTGGTTTCTTGCAGCAAATACAGCAAACTCTTATGCCATCGTAAAGACTTCATTTGTTAGATCTGGAGGTTTTGCAAGACTATTGTAACCTCAGGACTGATCTTTTTAAATGACAATTGTTTCTGTTTTCAGTGTTCTGTTCAAGAATTCTATTTGGTAGTAAGCACACTCTCTCATTTGGAAACAGCAATCAAAGCACTGGTTCCAGCTATACGTGCTCAAGTGCGGGCATCCTTGCTGCATAAGACCCTCTTGGAAATTCCTGAATTGCTTAGTTCAACAAAAAGATATTTAAACATGCTTAATGAAGAAGCAGCAAAGTAAGTAAATTAAGCATATAATTTGTTATTTGGTGCAATGAAAGTATGATGCAGCACCTTCTTTTTTCTAACCAAATAGTGATTATTATAAAAGTTTGGTTCTCTTCATCTTTCCCAACCTTTCTCAAATTGTTTGTAATGCCATTCCTTCACACATACACACAATCTAACATAGATACTATTTTTTTAAAAAAAACTGTAATAGTATACTCCCACTGGATTCTGTATGTTGTTCTTAAGATCACCTCAGCCTAACCTAATTTTGTGCTGATGTGCCAGATTTTCCTGATCTGGCTAGAGTTTGAATGTGGTCCATCTTGGGTGCTGTACTCCTTTTTTTTGGCCTTTCCAAAAACGAAATGGCTTGTACCTCATACTGCTTCCTACAGCCAGTGTACAGTTCAGGCAAGTTCACTTCTTGGACTTTGGCTAAGGTCAAGTATTGTGTAGGATTATGATCTTTAACAATAATCTCTGAAAAGGAGACAAAATTGTTTTTTTCCCCCCCTCTCTCTTTAGCTTGGCTTATATATACACAAGCGAACTAACTGTATAGAAGGTTTTTTTTTGAAGAAATGATTATTCTGGATTTTTATAAATTTTCTTTCTACAATTAAACTATAGTGCCCTACATCATATTATTATTATATGTCTGTATTTGCTAATGTTTGTTAGTATTAAACAAATGTCTGTGTTTGGTTGAATTAAAAGTGAATTTGGATTCTTTTTTAGAATGGGGGACAAAACCAAGCTATTCAAGGATCTTGATGATTTTCCTTTAATAAGGAAGAGAAAGGATGAGATTCAGGCAATACTCTGTCAAATCCAGGATCACATTCAGGATATACGAAGAACGCTAAATTCCTCCTCTGTGGATTATGTATCAATATCAGGACAAGAGGTAATATAAATATTGACTTCATTATCTTTTACTTTTGTCTATGTAGCATTTAATGAATTTTATCAGTCATGTAATTCTGATCATGTTTTTACAGGAACAGTTTCTTACTTCACTGAGTAGACTGGAGCTAAACAACTTGGTACCCTTTAGGTAGTTTGGAGTACAAGTTCCAAAATCCCTTGTCATTGGTCTTGTGGCTCCTGCTAACAGGATTAGGAGTTGAAGTCCAATGGCATGAGTTGTTCTAAGACTAGTAGAATTTAAAGAAAAATGTATTTAGTATGTAAGTTTATGTGTAGATACTTAAAATATAATTAACCATTTCCATCAAAGTACCAGAAATTCTGTTATGAAAATAAAGCTTTGAGGCAATTTTATTGAAGGCATCAACCATCATAATGTGAGAGAGTGTCAACATCTGTTTAAGTGCACCTTTGCCAGTGATTGAATATTAGTTACAGTAATTATAAGAACTAAGCACTATAAAAAGTTATGCATTGTCTGATTTATGGTGCAGGGACACAAAAGAGGACAAAAATTTAAAAGGACATATTATAACAAAGCTTTACCCAGAACCCTATTTAACTATGGGGAATTAGAATTATGGTAATAGAGAAATGATTTGAGGTTAATTTCAGTTGTAGAAGAGATAAAATAAGGAAATGATGAAAAGTTTGACAAAGAAGCATGGGATTTAGAACTGAAATCCTTGCAAAATACTATACAAAAGTAATATATTTCCAGTTTTTTAAGGTCTCAATGTTTTGTAACAGATTGACATATTTGAGACCCTAGAATATATTCACTGATATCTTCACTGGATTTTTGAATCAGTTTAAAACACTTCAAGAAGACAGTTTCTCTATAAGCAAGAAAGCCTACTTTAGTTCTACAGCACAAGATATAGAAAAAAGTATTTAAAGCACAGTTTGAATGTTTGGATCCTGGATTTATACTTTGTTATCTCTAAATGAGTATACAATTTTTATGAGAAGCACGCCTTGCACACAGACTGATTTTGGTTGTAGCGCAAAAATAACATTAACTTACTCTTTCCCTGCTTGGCATATCCTAGGTTGTGTTGGGCCTATAACTCCCAGGTTCCCAGCCAACATCTCTAGTTTAAGAGTAATTGCAATTTGTATTCACACATAATGATTATCTGTGATTGTTCAAAGACAGATATAAAAATATTTCATCTCTTCATTACTGTGCTAAAGAAGAGGGAAGTTGATGAGAGCATAGGAGCATGAAGTTCACAGCAATTCATTACCTTTATATTATAATTTTATGTTTAAAAAAGGACCTTTATTTAATTGTGAGCATTTATGAGCATGAAAATACAAGGTCAATTTTATATGACCCAAAGTTTCCAGTATCTCTATACAAATGTACATAAGAAACAAACAGAAACAAATAGAAATCTTAATGTAGGTCCACAAGTATGATGTAGGAGGCATCACTGAAATTTGTTATGGGTTGCACCTCATCTTTTACTACAAAAATGCTCTCCTTGATTTATATATGGGTCAGTTCTGTTCAGTTATTGTTAACTACATTATCTACTCTGATGATAATTCATTATGAAAATAAATTAACACCTTGGGAAAGCATCTGTTAATGAGGGTGATAGCAATATACAGTATGTCTCAAAATACAGATCACATCTGATGAGTAGTATGATGGCTACAAGAACTATGGTTTTATTATGAGCCTGTTTACCATCAGAATCCCATGAGCATATATGTGCATACTGACTTTAACAATGCTTCATCCAGATTTTACCTTAGGGTTCTGTTTTTTCCCTGGGTAGCAATCCAATTAATCTGTTCTTTGACAGTAAGGTACAGGTACAGGTTGGTAAAGCATGACAACATTAATTGTCAACTGCTGTTTTGTAGTCATATATTAATAAATCTTCCCTGTGGATGGAAGGCCTACTCAATGATTTTAGTAGTTGAGCTGAATGACTGACTAAATGAATTAGCAATATTATGTAGCTGCAGAAAAGACAAAAAACAGTTATATGCTGCAAAAATAAAAAATACCATTTCAAATAATGGGAAGTAATGGTTCCATTCCTTGATGTATTATATAACCACCAGGACTACTGTGCCCAGTTCTGGATAATCCATGTCAAAAAAGATTCATATGGCAAAGAGAACAAACAGAAGCTTGAGGGAGCTGGGTAGATTTAGTCCCAAAAAATGATGACTTTGTAGAACATGATGGCATTCTAAAAGACTTTAAAACTTCTTAAACTTTAGAAAAGTTGTTATCAGGCTGAAGACCATCCTACAGTTCAGGTCTCAAAGCAATGTTGTTTAGTTACAGGAAGGCAGTTTCTAGTTGAATTTTAGGAAAAACTTCCAAACATTGCATATGGTTTCACAGTGGAACCAATTAACTAAGGAATTGAAGAGCTTCCCTTTGGTAAATATGCTCAAGCAGTGACAAGAGCAGTCTGCTTTCATCTGGATTCCTGTATTGCACAGAACATTGAACCTGATAGCTTAAATGGCTCCTTTTATCCCTATGAATTAGGTACACAAGTTTTTGGTATAACTGTTATATAGGTTTTCAAGGATTATAAACATAATGGCTATGTTTGTATTTATTTTGGTTAAATGAAAGCTTTATTTTCAAAGGAAGCTTTGTTCCAAATTCCAAATTTGCGTCTCAATCTTGGGATACGCAAATGAGTTAGGACAGACTATCCAGGAGTATTCTGTGGATTAGTGCTTCAGTTTATCTTCCTGAAATAGCCTTCCAGTTCTTCCTTGTATTTTTGAGAGTCTGGAAACCTGAATAAATTGCTCTGTGAACTGGTATAAGCTTTGGTGGCTAGGTACATAATTTAACTTAAGTTGTTTATCTGAGATAAATTTATAGCCTTGATAGGTAGTAGAAATTTTGAGTAGTACTCATATTTATCTTATAGTTACTTGATTGTGTCTTCTGTTGTTCTTTTTTTTCTCTATACATACTAACATTTTTTGGGACAGAGTTATGTCATAAAATGCACCATTGAAAACTATGAAGAACTTTGTAATGCCTTGAAAACTGGCTCATCAAAGCTTTTGTAAATTAATATCTGTGCTGCCCATTCTAGTACTACAAAAATGTTTTCTGAAACAAAATTAATGTTTTGATAATTTATTCTTTGGTGTTTTAGTTTCAGATTGAAGTTAAAAATTCAGTTGTATCTTCTGTACCATTAGATTGGATTAAAGTTAGCAGGTATGTAATTTAATATAAATCCTAACATGATTACCATTTATTGTGTTCATTAATTCAATGATGCCTATATATTGATGTTTCTGATGACAGAACATATATTACAAAATGCTGCAGTAAATACATAAACATAAGTATTTCAGTCCTAATCTTATGTTATTACAGAAAGCTTGAAGGGAGCTTTTACTTCTGTTCTAGCAAATGCAGACAAAAGTATTCAAACTTCCTGTTTAGGAGGTTAGGCATTATGTCGACAGAAACATTAGGAGGAAGGTATGTGTACCTCCTGCCACCCATCTTCTTTTAATTGCTTACATAGGATTATTCTGTAATAAAATTTCTTACTATATTCCCAGTTCAAAAACTTCTGACACATATAGCAGCTTAATTTTTATTAAAATGGAAAGACAGATTTCTCTCTCTCTTTCTTTCTCTCTCTCTCTCTCTCTCTCTCACACACACACACACACACACACACACACACACAAATAAATAAATAAATAATAGGTTTTCCTTGTAAATGGAATTGATATTGGATGAGCTGATTCAGTGTTCTTCTCTCTTTTCCTTTCACTTAGATGGGCTAGGATCGTGATATAGGGTCAAATTAGTAATGAAATGAAAGTGTCCTCTGGTACCAATGAGCTGTTTATTCTATTGGTGACCCAGTTAGACTCCTGAGATCAGGTCAGACCTTAACTGGAGCAAGCCATCTGCATTTGTCTTGCAGGTGCTGATTGTAGATATTTACAGCTGTAAATAGCATTCGTGACCAGTTTTGTAGCATTACTAAAGTTAAGGAGGTATTGTCTTGAAAGAGACTGCTACTTATTGAACAAGATGTATTTTTAAGAAAAAATCATTTCAAAGTAAACATGCTACCAGTATACATGTCTGCACTGATTTATTAATTCAGTAGTATCAAGTTTATATTAATCCTGACATGAGAAAAATCTATTCCCAGCTTATTCTATTCTTAATTTTCCTTTCTGCAAAACTTTTTTTAAACAACTATTATAGTTTAGTTGGGTATGTCTATAGTTAACATTTACTTAGGATTTGCTGCCATTGAGATATCCTCCTAATAGTTCTGTATGATCAGTTTAAATCTTAAATTGCTTTTAGGTTAAACTTGATCTTATTTCTGTAATCTAAATTTCCTACATTTACATTTAATTTCCACTGGTTCATTCATTAAAGTTTTTGCTCCACAATTGTGCAGCCTGTTCTTAAGAATAGTTCCCTGGAGAAAGCCCAGTGAAGATCTGTTATATTTAGGCCCATGTAAATATACAAAGGATTTCAGCTTTTATGTGGTATAACTGAATCAGACTAGATTCTCATCTAACTTGGTCTCCCCTGCAGTCTACAAAACTCTGCTGTTATTCAAGCATTGATCATTAAACCTGATCTGGCTTTAAGGCCTAATCTCAAAGAGGACATAATTCTGAAGATGCTCTCCCTTGCTATCAAGCACTTCAGTGTTCTTCTGCTTTTAGATATAGCCATTTTCACGAGGGATGTGACTGTACTGTTAAGTCTAGATCAGAGTCTGAAGCAGTGTGTCTTGGGCTGGTAAGAATTGGTTTTAGCCCAGGTCCCATGTCATGATGTAGCTTCTGGGGCAGGAGTTTTGGCAAGATTTACTATCTTTTTTTTTCTTTCTCTGAAGAATTGCCCTCTCTCTTGAAAATTATTCTGTTCAGTTCCAATGTTTAGTAGAGAAATGCTGATAGTAACCCCCCTCCTTCAGTAATATGATTAATAGTTTATAATAGTTTGCATTGTACTAATAAGTTATTCACTTCATTTGATGCCTCAGGTACATACTGCCAATCAGGCTTTTTTCCCCATGCTATGAATTCCTGAATTTCTGGAAGTTCAAAGAACATCCTTTAATATGAATTAATGGATGTTCAGAGAATATAATGATGAGCCTTGGCACTTCTTTTTTTCTGTGTGATATTATTTTAAAAGTCCTCTTTTGATATGTGGTTAAAACAACTAAATTGATTTATATTTATTTAATTTATTTATTTATATTTCAAATTTGTCACTGCCCATCTCACTGTGGAGTGACTCTGGGTGGTTTACAGTAAAAGCAGAATAAACATTAAAATAGATAAATATTAATTAATTAATTAAAATATGCTAAAAAAAACAGACTTCCTATATGATATTTATTTATTTATTTATTTATTTAATTTGTCCCTGCCT